AAGCGGCATATTAGAAGTTTTACATTCAGCGTTGGGATATGTATAAGAAAGATAGCTACTTCTCATTGTAAATATTACTGTTGCAAGAGACACCAGTTACAGTTGTTTGGGCTTTTCCTTTTGTTTGAATGTAAACAGAACCTCTGAGCAAAACAGCTTGATTGCTCTCAATTTGGATGCTTGCCAGCCTAGAAATAGAAGGATATCCATAATCCTCACGGATGTAGTACAGTGTTTTAGTAGAAAACAATTTGCAGGGTCATAATATGTGGCTTGGGTTTTTGGTGTTTGCTTTTTGTTTTGTGGGGTTTTTTTGTTTTGTTTAATTTTAAACTAACAGCAGCAATAACAAAAAAAAAACTAAAAAACCAACCAAACAAAAAAAAAACAACAAAACAAAATAAAACTAAACACACCTACTTGCAAGTTATGGGCTTCTCTTGCTTGAAGCTGAGATCTAGTGAGATGCTTACAGCAAGACATAATATAAAACAAGAACCCTGAGTTGGCCAGTGTTAACAGCAGATTTTATCCTGAGAGAGCAAATAAAAATAGTCCACGAGGTTTTCCCCAGTTGTTCTAACATGTCAGACTGATGTTCTGCTTGCTTCCTTTCCAGTAAATTTTTGCTTGTACATGTATGTGCACATACATGTTCTGTTTTGTTTTAATAATTAAGACTTGATATTATTGCTAAGAGAGTTTGTGGTAAAGATGATGAAATATATGAGTAGTAATACTGTGCTAATGGTTTGGTTTATGATTAACATTCATAAACTCAAACTTTTAATATTTGAGGGCTGCTGGGAGTGAGGAGGCCCTGTTTGTTTTGTTTTGGATTGTTTTTGAAAGGTGCAGAAGCTGAACCTTGTGAGCTGAGGTATAGTGTCTGAATAATGACTTCCCTTCATTTTGCCAGAGGTTTGCTGATGTGTGTCCAAGGTCAGGCCTGTTTTGTATGACTGAAGATTGCACTCTCATTGCCCAACACAAAGTCCGTTGGAACCGATAAGAATTTTTTTGCCTGTTTCAGTGGGTTTTGGCTCACCCTCCTGCTCTGTAAGTTGAAATAACCAAAGAAAACACAAAACCTCTCAGTCAGAATTTCCACTTGTTTGTTTTGCAGCAGAGTCTCACTGTGGAGTGAGTCAACCTCTTTGAGCTCTTCCAGCCAGGGAGATACACATGTTCTGATATTTGTGGGTTATCACTAATGCTTTTCAGTCTTGTTTTACTGCTGATAGTGTTGTGCTGTTTTGTATTTTCCTGCAAGAATAGTAATCTGAATAGTTTATGGCTCATGCCCTATTTACCCAGGAACTATAGAAAAAACCCCTGTTGATACCAAGTCATGTTCTATATAGGTTTATCATACAAAGGGAGAACACGGGTGAACATGTGGATCCCCACTGACTCCCTACATCAGCCATCTGGCATGTGGAAATGATACCCAGCTTGTTAGCTGAATCCATCTAAAGTATTGCATGCATTTTTTTTTTATTTAAGAAAGTTGATCTATGTTATCTCCTTGCTAATCGTATGTGAAGAAGCTGATAAGGGGAGCAAATCTGAGATTACTGTTGAAAGCTGGACAAGCAGGTGGGAGTGAAGTCATTACAAGATAGGATGCTTGACGCTAGTGGCATGTGGAGGCTGTTACTCAAAGCCCTCAGTGCTTTACAGGAAGGACCACTACTACAGTAGTGCACCTTGAAAGATCTCAAGTATTTAAATAGTATTTCATGAGCCTTACTAAATAATAATGCAGATTATAAAATGATGTGGTATGCTCTAGTAGTGATGCTTGAGTTTTTGAAAGGTAACTGAAGCTGTTAGGGAGGTTGGGAATGGGTCTGATGGACTTTTAAGTCTTGACAGCATTCCCCCAAGAGACTCGTGCTGAGCCTTGTGGCTTTTATGTCTTGCTCTATCATCTCTGAAAGAGGCAAACAATCTCTTATCTGGGAAGATAAAATGAGATTGGCTCATTTTAAAACAATTTGTTTTAAAAAGAGATAGATTGGCTGTGGCTTTTGTCCTTATGTATGGTTTAAATGAGCATTTTAATCCACTTCCATTTCTTACTGTCCTGGGCTTCAGCAGAGAGTTACGCCAGCTCAACAGCTTGTCTCTGGGAAGCCTGGACCTGAAGTGTGCTGCAACAATCTGCAAATTGCAGTAGCAAAATCTATTTTGGGGAAAGATAGCACAATATCTCTGTGTACTCCAGCCAACACCATGACTAATGTAATAAGTACTAGGGAGAAAACAAACAAAACCAAGTATGTATATTTAATGTTGCAGTTGTATTAAAAAGTATAGTGTAGGTCTGATTGCTTTGGTGTTCATGGTGTGGATCAAAATAGAAATAGTAGCAGGGTGGGCTGAGATGTCAGCAGCGTTGTGCAGACCAAAATGTACGTGTGTATCAGAAGACACAAAACAGGAGAAGGAGCTTTGCTCTTTAACGCAATTGTCACACTTGTAAAAAGTAGATCCCCTTTGTGTCTTGATTTCCCCTATGCCTCTCTGTGATTAAAAGCATGGCTGAAGAACTGACAGGATAAAACATGGCCAGGAAATACATGGTCAGGGAAACAGCTGATGCTCAAGGAGGAGGAGTTAAAACTAACTTAAAATTGTCCTTTCGTACCTTTAGCATTGCGCAGAATACTACCATTAGTCTCAAAAGCATACTTGGGGGTAGCTTCAAAAGGAAAAAGTCAGGGTCGTGGGGGAGAGCTGGAGCTGAGCACCTGGTTGCAGTAGGAGTCTTGATTAGTCTGAACACATCAGAAGAGCTCCTTGCAAGAGAGTTTTATAATGAAAGGGAAGATATTGGCTGCAGGGCAAAGAGGCTGGGAAATGGCAAGAAGGGGAGGACTGCCACCGAGGGCGGTGGTTTTATTCCTTTGCCCTCCCCACTGTGTTGGCTTGAGCGCTTGTGCAGCCACAGGGGAAATGGGCTGGGGACTGGTGGGGGAAGAGGAGCTGATTGATCCAGGTTAAATTGTGCCCATCAAACAAAAACAAACAAAAACTTTGTTCTGTAGTTGGCATCTGTGTTCCTGACACTGGGCAATGGTGTCACAGATTGGTGAAGAGGAGGTTTCAGAGGTCTCCTCCATGCTAAAAGCCAGTATCTTACCTGTTAAAATCATCTTCTGTGTTTTTTTCAGGCTTGCAGTTAAGTGAATTTTTTTGAAGTTTATGTAAAGGATATTTACGGAATTATTTTTTACTTCCTGAATGTTTGAAAAATGGTGTTTCATTCTGTAAAAGTTTTCCAGATAACTTCAACAGGTATATTCAAAAAATGCTGTCAACTTGAAATGCGTTCACATAAAATCATTTGCACACATACAATTTCAAGTAGTAAGTATAGCCAAGATTGCTTCTAGTTTGCTCCGTACTTTCTGTTAATTTTTTGTCCTCTGCAGTTAGTATTTTTCATATATGGCTGCACGAGCTTTTCTGGCACACACAGGGCAACAATTGGCCAATTTAACTGATTATAGATATGAAATTGCTCACATGCAAAATTACATCAGATGCACAGAGGAAATGCTTCTACTGTATATTGCTTGTAACAGAAGGGTCGCGTATATTTACTGAAACAGCCATCTGTGATTGTTTGTTTGCTTTTTGTTTTGTTTTTAAAATCGTTTGAATTGTTTGCAGAAGTGGGGTACAGATAGCTTACTGGAAATTTCTGGTTTGCTATGTTTGGAAACATTTCAGCACTAACAAAGTTGGAAACTATTTTAAATGTGCACAGTCTAACCCCTGAAAATGTTTTTGTGTCTTGGTGGCACGAGTACATCCTTGCTGCAGTTCCATATATGGAAAATTGTCATCAGACAGCATCATTTTCCAGAGCTCTCATTGAGTCAGGAAACTGCCTCTGCAGTAGTCAGACCTCTTGGTTAACTGTTACAGCAAAGCCAGTCCTCTACCTCTCCTTTAGGGATGATTAAATTTTCAGTAGATTGGTGTAGTATTTGAGAAAATGTCACTGGTGGAGAAGATAAGGCTCTTTCCTTCCAAACTGGGACACTTGAGAATTTGAGTGTATGGAGAAGAATACGGGAATTGTATGTGGGCAGTAGAGTGCAGTAGTATAGAAATATAAAAGGAGAGAAATACCTGCATCCACATACTATGTCTGCATGCTTTTTTTTTTTTTTCCCAAAGATCCATAAATATTAGAGTAATAGATTCCATTGTTTTACATTAGTATTTCACAGAGGAGGTGTAGTCTAAAGGATCTGTTTTTCCATGGAGTTCATCCTGCTCTGCATCTGATACAGCTTCATTGATGTTTTGCTGTGGAGCTGGTGGAATTGAGTGCATATGTATGTGGTTGAGGAGGAACAGGGGGATTCAAGCTGGTGTTTTCCAAATTTCCAAGACCTTCTCTTTAAATACATTTGTATGATTGCCTTAAATGCAACTACGTGGTTTGTCAGGTAAGCAGCTTTCAAATGCTTGTTTAAAGTACAGTGAGTTTTCAGGCCTGTTTATAAAGTAAGCAAAATTCCATGTCTGAAAGTGGCAACACCTTCAAAATAGTGGATTCCTTCTTACTCTCAGGTGGATAGTTGAGGCAGAAGTCTGGAGGACAAGAAGAATGGTGATTTTAACATCAATCATTGCAGCTGGATTTGCCAGCTCATGCACGTCTCACCCGTGTTGACTTCTCAATTTGTGTTTCACAACTAAATGGATGGATAGTTTTTCCTTTCCCACCCTTTTTGTTGTATGATACCAGGAGTAGAAATGACTGAGAAGGATTCATGCTATACCTTGCATGTTACATTACTATGTGGTACAGCAAATACTTGACAAAACTGATTTGTCAGCTATAACCATCTTGTGGATTTCAAAATTATTTTCATGTATACTGTTATCTGAAAACCATGGTTTCTGCACAGAGTAGATTTTTGTTGATAACACTGATATAAAGTGTTAACCATCCTTTCTTTCTCTCTTTCCTAAAGCTTGTACAACGAAGACAGAAACTTGCTGCGTATTCGAGAGAGAGAGAGGCGGAATCAGGAGGTTCTGCAGGAAAAAGACAAGTTTCCTGAGAAGACTCCTCTCTTTGCAGAGCCCTACAAGGTAATGCTTAGCGGGGCACTTGGTGGAGGGAGAAGAAGAAAGAGGATTGGGATGGAAGAGGAGAGCTGTGGCCTCTGTATATGGTATAACAGACTTGAGCATGATACATGCAAACAGAGCATGTTCCCATCTGCTTAACTTAAATTCATCCAGAGCGTGCGCTTAAAGCTCTGTAGATGGTGCAAGCACAGTACAGACTTCAGGTTGGGCAGATTCATTTGAGGGACTCGTGTAGCCAGGGAGTTTGAGGGAGAGTGGTCAAGAGCGGCTTGGCTGCCTGTCTGTCTGTAGCTGTGGTTGAAACAAACTGGTCTGATGTTCTTGAGGACTGTAGGCACACTTGTCATCTTGGTGTAAAAGTGACTAGATCAGTCCCAGTTGCTTTGGAGAGACTGCATACAGGATCAAGGTGAGCTTGCTTAACTTTTGTAGTGATGCGTGGTGATTAGGATCCTGGAAAGTGTCTCTTCTTGAGCTGGATCTCGTGGGGGGGGTCATCCATGCTTTTTAAATTTCCGCCTCTCTATTCTTCTGTTGCAGACTAATAAAGAAGATGAGTTGTCAAGCCGAATTCAGAACATGCTGGGCAATTATGAGGAGGTCAAGGAGCTCATCAGCAACAAATCCCATAAGAAACTCATAGGGATTCCAAAAAGTGTTGCTTCTCTGATCCCCCAAGGAAGGCCTGATCGCCCATACTTCCATAAAAAGACCAGCCATACACTACCATCTTCATTCCACCGCACAACCCGTCATCCACCCATGGGACCTACGGTTGTAGCTCCTCCCCCACCAAGCCAATCCATTCACCACCAAAAGGCACAATCAAGAACAGAACCAGCCTCAGGTTTGGATGCCAAGAGTCACAGCTTATCCAATGGTCAGAGCCAAGGTCAAGAACACAATCATGGTAGCCAGGAAAGTCACGCAGGTTTTCACCACAAGAGAAATGACAAGCATGCAGTTGGTGAAGGTCATGCTAGTGAACCACAGACCTCCCTTTTGGCGCTTTCTCCATTAAGGACAGCCTCATCTTCTTCAGTGTCACCCCTGTCACCTCTACATTCCAGCCAGCATATGAATTCCAGGTCACAGAACAACAGCAAAAGTCATAAGCCAACCTACAGTGAAACAAAACCATCTCAGGACCCAGGGACAGGATCACAGGAGAAGGAAAGTTGGGACAGCTCAGCCATTAATCTGACTGGCACCACTCAGCCTTCCTCTCAGACTTTTCCCCCACCTTTGCCATCAAAAACCAGTGCAATGCAGCAGAAACCAACTGCCTATGTCAGACCAATGGATGGCCAAGATCAGGCACCAGTTGAATCACCGGAGCTCAAACCTCTCCTGGAGGAATACCACAGAGAACCCTGTGAAGAAATCTCGGATTTGAAGGCGAACGCCAAAGCCAAACTATCCAAATTGGAAATTCCTTCTGAGCCTGCAGAGGTGAGTGCAGTTGCTGGGGGGCTCTGTTGCTGGCAGGGTAAGTTCAGGTGCGGGAGAATGGGTCATTGAAGGGCAGAGACTACCAGAAGCAGTGATGGCTGTGCACTCATTATTGTGTTTAGAAGGTGCATCTTAAGGTTGGCTTTTGTTGACCTGGGTGGGATATCTGTTTGGATAGTGAAAATGAAATGCTTGCCATGGTTCTGTGGTTTTCTTAGTGAGACCGCAGCAGGTTTTACAGTCAGAGAGACTGCTTCTGTTGCTGTGATTTTTGTTTTGCCTGTAAAGATTGTTGAAAAGGAGAAGGGGGGAAATGATGTGCTGAGAAGGCCAAGTAGTAATGCACCTGCAGTTAGTATATGCAGGGTGTTAGTGCTCAGTCTGAGTGCTGGTGGGCAGAGGCCCCAAATCCTCACTGAATATTGGGACAACTGTGACTGTCCAGCGAGTTCCGTGGTCATCTAGTAGGTTGAAGGTTTTGGGGCTTCGTGATAAGTGACTGCAAACACCACAGGGTTCTCTGAAGTAGGTTTGTAAGATCTCACTGTAGATCCTCAGGAAAGTATTAATGCGAACAGAAGACATCTTGTAGATTTCTGCAAGATGGATTTAGCCTCACTTCCTTGGGAAGCATGACACCATTCTGTCTCCCACTTCATCAGATGCCTTCTGAACAAGTTCTGAAGGTTTAAGTAAATTTAGTGCAGAGGTGGAATTCTCAGTGATAAGCAAGATCCTAAAAGTTCTGTAAAATTTTGCGTTCGGGCAAAGATGATACCCTCTTTCTCCCAGCTATGAGCAAAATGAGCACAACTCTGCTTATGTCTTTGTTCTTACCAGCAGAAGGCAGCCTGGGCAGCAAGCTCAAGCATACCTTTGTTCTAGTCACTGCACTTGTGCTTTCTCTGCCAAGGACTGAAAGGGATGTGGTGAAAGGTGTGGGATGGCAAGTTGCAGTTGTTGCAGTGAATACGTGGCAGTTGGGCCGAAGACCAAAATGTGTTGCATGTAAACCTTTGATTATTCCTGCTCGTGTGAGAACAGCTTCTCCCTAATATATATTATTTCCTTGAGGGCAAACCACTAGCTTCTTCATTTGCCTCCCATTTAAAAATTAATGTTTTGGAGCTTAGATTTCAATCTTCAGTTAGAATCTGCAGCTTCAATCTGCAGTTAGATTTCTGTCTTCAGGTGCTCTTTTGTCTTTCATTCTGCTCTTTTGGTCATTTTCACTAATTGCTCTCTTCCACACAGACATTTCAATTGGTTGCAACCAGGTTGAGTGCAGGGTATTGAAGATTAGCAGGTGCAATTCAGAACATAACACTGTTGTTCTTGTACTATGTAAGTGGCCCTCTTGCCAGAGGGAAGACAACTTTTGAAAACATGGATTTTTTTTTTTTTTTCTGTACAGTTCTCCCTGTGTTTTGAGTTGGTTAGAGATCATGTGCAGTGTGTGGTAGAGACTGGTGCAGTTGAGCTGCATTAGGTTAGTCTGCTCTAGCTTTCACTTGAGGGAAAAAGGAAAGGGCGGCGGGTAGAGTGATAGGGAAGGCTCTTCCAAAGATTTCAGAAAGCATATCTCACCTACATTTGGGCCCTGCTATGAAGTCCAGTGGCTTTTCAAGGAGCAGATGTGTTGTTCAGGAGACTTAGGCAACTTCAGGTGAAGGGGATGGCTGGACTTACAATTGCCTCTTAACCAGGTGGTTAAGAAGTGATTCTTTCTTTTATAATTACTTTGATACAGCAAGATTTCTTGTACTCCCATCTGGTTTTGCTAACCCCAAGAATTCCAATCTGATTTGCCGTGTGTGATGGAGGCAGAAGCCTTGGGTTTCTCAGATGTGTGCTGTAGGTTAATGTGGCTTGAAGTTTGCACTGGCAAAGCAGGGGGAGAGGAGGAGCAGTGTTGTACATGTGTAGTTCAGCAAATGCATGCTCTTTTTTGTTGTGCCCTTTGAAAACCATTGTTCCATCTTTGCTGAGGGACCAGCACTGATTCTGCCTGCCTTGTGGCTCAGCCTCCCACAGGCTCAAAGACACTTGGCTCCCGAGTCAATTTGGCAGTTTTACCATGCTCATCCTTCAGCACTGAGAATATCGCTACGCTCTGTGTGGGATCCCACAGTGCTGACCTAAGGCAGCTGGGTGAGGAGAGCTGTGGAGATAGTTTTCACATTGTATTTTGCCTTTGTAATAAAAAGGGAGAGTGTGGGTGCAGTCTGCTTTTCATGGAAAAGTGTGTTGATGAGCTGCAAATGGCTGTAGGCAATTTCTTGTAAAAAATAAGAGGAAACTGGCAAAAATTACATTGAGGAGAAGTTGTGAAAATATTTTAATGCTGAGAGACTTCTATTTCCTTTAAAGTAGCAAAAATTTGGCATTACACATCATACCTCAAAATAGGAAATGCACTGCAGTCTGCATTTCATTATTTGCTTGACTGGATATTTTACTCATGGAGGAGATGTAAAGCAGTGCGGGGCCTTACTTTCTGCATTACCCATTCATCATTATCCATTGCCAAAGAGATAAAGGGCATTTCTGGGTTTAAAACTCCTTCCATTATCTTTTTTTTTTTTTTTTTTTTTGAGAGGGCATGGCTATTTTTTCAGAAATGAAGCTTCTGTGTTCCAATTCTCCTGGTCCCATTTCTATTTTCATCTTATCTCTTTTCCCATCCTCATGCTTTTTATGTCATCTCGTGTATCTCTGGTTTAATATGATTTGAGATGGGGCCGTGTTAGCTACGATGCTGTATGCTGAATGAAACTTGCTTCTCACTTTCCATTGAGCACATGACTGAATCCAAATGCCCATAAAAATCCTACAGCTGCCAGAGCATGAGCAGTGTTGCCCATGCTGGTTCGGGAGTGCTATTTGATCTATGGCAGAGTAAGAATATAATAAGAAGGGAACTGAAGATAGTGAAAGAAATGGTTTTGCACAAACCAAACCCCTGGTTTTAATTATATGCTTAGTCTATTTCGAAGCTGATAGATGCAATCTTTTGTGAATATGCTGAATGATCCTCCTTTGAGGTAGGTGTCTTCAGGCTGTGATCTCTTGTTTTCTATGCAGAGGTGTTTTGGATAGTGGCTCTGTAAGCTCTAGTGAGAAATCCATGACTTCATTTTCTGCTTGTTTCCGGCTTGTCATTATCATATTTACTTCTGTTTGCTTTCAAGGATTAACATATATTTGGTGATGCAGTCTTTCAGTGCCAAAGCCTGGAGAGTGAAGGGGAAGAAACACTGTGGTTGCACACCTGGATAGATTCCCTGTGTGCTGGACGTACAGTACGAGAGGCATAACTGGGGAACAGAACTGGGTAGGTTTGCTTTTAGGAAATATCCGGTGAGGTATGTTGCATGCAGGTGAGAGAGTCACTGAAAGAAAGGAGCTTGGAAAGGCTGAGCAGGGGTCCTTCAGCTGAAAGGTTGGCCCTCCCTTTTGTTTTTGGTGAAATGGGAGCTGTGGAGAGGCTCCTGCCCTCCCATGACCCTGACAGTGAATACATCTAGACTAACAGGAACTCTGCTGTTCTTCCCTCTTCCTCCCAGCGACCGGGAAGCATGGTTTTACAAATTTTATTTAAATTGTTCAGCCCCAGTTATACTGAACAGCCACATGCCAAATACAGTTTTTCCTGTGATCTCGCTTGACATCATTTAGAAAAGCCATTTCTTGTACCACATGTTTTTTTGGCTAATTGAATTTCCAAGGCATGTGTCACCTGCAGCTGTGAGTTCATTATTGACAGCTTCTGTTCATGGAAACACTGACAAGTTAAGCCTTCCAGTCTGAATAGACAAGCAGATTCACTGTAGAGTGAATTAATCCACAGTGGATAACTGTGCAGTGACTCACATTGCATTCACATAAAGAAACTGAACAGCTCTTTCCCCTCATCCCCAAATAAAAACCTTCGCTTTCAAACGTCATCCCCATCTCTTTAAGGCATCTTTCCAAACTGATTGTGAGAAGACTTAAAAATATAGCATACCTGAAGCCTAGATGTATCCCTTCTCTTAACTCTTCCCCCAGCAGCTAAACAAAGATGCTTTTAAAGCTGCTCTCTCTTTTCATGTCTTTAGGAGAGCCACAGCACCACCAGACACCCTTATATTACCTCCGTTGACAAAAACTGTGATGTCTTGAAGGGAATTGGCTTGACGGCAGGGCCAAGAAGTGGTGAGGCTGGTTTGAGAGACTGTTACTAAATCCTCAAGTGTTAAGGGCATGGTGTCTGGGGGCATGTGTAGCACTTGAGGCTTGCTGAAGATTTGGCTTTGTTTTCCTGGCAGCTTCATAAACGTTAGGGAGTAGCTCCTTTTATCTCATGTAATCAGACTCTCCTCTTTCACCTACAACCTGGGAAGCAAAGAGGGAACCAAGCAATTTGAAAAACCAAAACAACAACAAACAATGAAGGAGCCCAGATGGGTTAAGTCTTTTTGGTAACACTGTATTATCCTTGAAGCATAGGGTATACACAAGTATTTCTGTGTTCAGAGTGGGATTGCTGCCGTTGAGCTCTGTTCACCTCAGTAAGCACTTATGAATGGTGACCAGTTAAAACATGGTTGTTGCATAGTGTGTAGTAATGACTAAATACCTAGAAAGAAGTTCGGATGACAAAAATAAAAATTCCATTCTAGATAAATAATTTCTCACTGGCTTCTCTCCATGGCAACTGAGCTTTTCTACTGGCAGGTGTGGTCAGACAGTGAACCCTATAAACTAGAAATAAATATATTGCTTTAATCCTGCATCCTTAAAAAATGAAAATATTTAAAAATATAAATATCATTGTCTTTTGGTCTTGCCTAATGAATATAGAGTATTTTAGCATTAAGCTACTACTGTTGCATTTCTTACCAACCTTACATTTATTAAGCATTTACTGAATAGAAGGGAGATTGGGCTTTTTCACCCCTTTCCCCTTTGTTTTCCTTTTTTTCATTTTTTTTATTCTTTCCTCTGCTTTGCACCAA